GCGGGACCCAGCGGTGCTTCCCCGCGGCCCTTCGGCCCCCGCGGGTCGCGTTACCGGGCTCCTGCGCTAGGCCGCCCCACGGGCCACCCCACCCCACGGGGGAAGGGGGGTCCCAGCCACACCCCACGAGAGAAAGAGGGGGGTCCAGCACCTCCGCACCGGGGGGTCACGGTCGCCCCATCACCCCCAAAAATGCCGGTGGGGTCTGAGCTTCCCCCCTCAAGCCCCTTTGGGGCGCAGTGGGCGGGAGCGTCCTTCAGACCCCACCGAAGAAAGTGCGAGGGGTCAGCGGTGCCAAAAGCAAGAGGCAGACGAGTAATGGGGTAATTAGCCTAAGAGGCTTTGCTGATGGTATGTAAAGCCCTTAATAATTCGGGCCGTCGGGTGGCTGCCTTTGCCCCCTGCTAAAGGGGAGCTGCACAAAAAAGCACCCAGGGGTTTGGACAACATCTGCCCCAGGGGGTTTCTCCTGGCAGCATCCCTGGGAGGATGCGACCGTGGGGCAGCACACATACGGGACAATCCTCCTCCTTCGTGGCATCTGGAGGGGGATCCTGAGCTGTGGCATCACCGGCTGCCACCCTCGGGAGCCGGCAATGGATGGGGTTGGTTGCTCGCTGGTGCTGCTGCTCCTGCAGGATGGCAGCCCCCGAAATGATGCTCGGGGTTGGAAATGGGTGCGAATGGTGGCAAAGCAATTAAAGGTACCAAAAGCATTAAAGGAACGAGTGCCTAAACCCAGTGGGCCTGTGGACTTAGCCCCCCACAGGCCATCCCCGTTGACTAATCGGGGTAAAACATCCTTCTGCTCGGGCCACCCTCTGCCTTTCCTCTGCCTTTTTTGGGACTGAATTCGGTTGACTAATCGGGGTAAAACATCCTTCTGCTCGGGCCACCCTCTGCCTTTTTTGGGACTGAATTTAAGCAATTAAAGGTACCAAAAGCATTAAAGGAACGAGTGCCTAAACCCAGTGGGCCTGTGGACTTAGCCCCCCACAGGCCATCCCCGTTGACTAATCGGGGTAAAACATCCTTCTGCTCGGGCCACCCTCTGCCTTTTTTGGGACTGAATTTGGTGGGTCGTGCTGCGTGGCTGAAACCCTGGGCCCAGGACTCCAGAGACGTGTCTGCAACCTGACTCAGTGAGAGATCATAAAATCATAGAATGATTAGAGTTGGAAGGGACCTTAAAGATCATCGAGTTCCAACCCTCCTGCCATGGGCAGGGACACCTCTACTTGAGCAGGTTGCTCAAAAATTAGTTCCCGTTTCTTTTATCCTCATTACCTCTCTTATAAAAGCTTCAGGCACAGGAAAATCCACAATTGTAGCAATTCTGCCCAAGCAGCACCTGAGCTTCCAGGGCTGCCTTTGCGTCTGGTCATGGTATCCACACCAACAGAAACCTTTTTTTTCAGCCCAGAACCCAAAGTTGTGGGTTTTGTGAAGGGAGAGGCAGCTTAGAAATGGCAAATGAAGCCATCTGAGCCCTGAGACCGGGGAATCTGGGTGGCACAGCTCCTTGTGGCGCAGCTCCTGGCATCTAGCAGGAGGGAGGCAGTGCCGTTTCTTTTTTACCACACAAAAATTAACACCAAAATGTCTGATTTTCCCAGATTTTGCAGGCTGGGGAGTCCTATCCCCGTGTCCCCATCGGCCAGGACCCGTCATGGGGGCAGCCAACAGTCACCATGGTGATAAGTGTCGATGATGGCACTTTGCCACGGGCCATGGTGCCCCCTTTTTCCTTTCAGAGGCACGACTCCGGGGCCGGCTGCCAGCCATGCATGGGGTCTGGTGTGGGGAACTCCACCTCCCTGGGTCCGGAGCACAGACTTTGGCCCCGCTGCCCAGGGGCGGGCTGTCATCCCGCTGCCCTTGGCACTTAGACCTTGCACTGCAGGCGGTTTGCTGGGCTGTAAACAAGCTGCCCGGAGAAGGTGGTTTTGTTGAAGTCTCTGAAAACCGCAGCGGCTGCCCTGAGGACCACGCATTCTGCAGGTGAGCTGGTAAAAAATGTGTTTCTGTTATTTATTGAGCAGCGAGGCAGGTACCCCCTTGGCTGGTGCTGCAGGGGCAGCCTGGGGTGCATCCCTGGGGCAGAGGCAGCCCCGGTTCCTGCCGGCCGTGGGTTATAAAACCACAGCAGATGGGAAGCAGCGTGGCTCTCCTGCTGCCATCGGTGCTTTGCCGACCCGATGACTCATCCCTCCATCCCAGCAAATGTCATTTCGCCCGTGGGCTGCCTTTCACAGCAGAGATGCTGCACTTTACCTTATCCAAATAAAACCATGGGCTGGAATTTACTCAGGCTGCCCAGAACTAGGTCTGGTGTGCTGCTGGTGTCCACCCCCCTGCCCACGCACTGGCAGCTGAGCATCCAGGGATGTGACTCAGGCTGAGGTGATCTGAGGAACACCTGGACCTTCCCCAAATCAGTCTTTGGCTGCTCCCTGCCCATACAGTGACCACAGGGCTTTTCCCAGGCTGCAAGGCAGGAAAGCTCCGTGGAGAGGGAAGAGCAGGGGACTGACGGGGGCTGCAGACCCTCTTTGCAGCTGGCATTTACATACAGTGGTTCTCCCAGCTGGGGCTGGGAAAGGTTTGGGGTGGTGGCACGGTTGCCCTCATGTGCAGGCAGCCCCAAGGGCACCAGCGGCGTGAGGAGCCATCCTTGGATTTATCGTACCTGGCATTGTTCCCTGGAAAACACCTGCTGTTTCCCACTTCCTTTATCCCTGCCCACATCTTTTGTCTGGGCAGAAGAATTCGGAGCACCCTGAGGCTGGGACGCTGGGCACAGAGGGCTGATGCCATCCCATGGGAGATGGTGCCACTGGGTGGGTGCACATGTGGCTACAGCGTGGCCAAGGGTAGAACCAGGGATGCCACCCCAAGCACATGGGCTGTGAGCGATGGGGAAAGGTAGCCCTGCCACCCTGACAAGTTACACCCCCCCCATCCATGATTTCAGTGCCTGGGCAGCACAGGCAGGTGCTGAAGAGATCTTGGAGGCTTTAAGGAATGCACACAGAATGCACCAAGCTGCAGCTCAGCCCCTTCCCTGCAGCTCAGCCCCTTCCCCGCAGCCCAGCTCTGCTCCGGCAGCAGAGCCAAGGCCAGGTCAGGTCCCACAGGACTCAGGAACCCCTGGTTTCTCCAAGCCCCAGCACTGCCCATCAAGTGTTTCCCCTCTCCACAGAGAGCCGGAGCCATGCGTGTGGCCATCATCGGGGCCGGGGTGATCGGCCTCTCCACCGCCCTGTGCATCCATGAGCAGTACCACGGGCTGGTGCCCTCCTTGGAGATGGAGGTCTATGCCGACCGCTTCACACCCCACACCACCAGTGATGGGGCAGCCGGCTTGTGGCAGCCCTACCTGAGCGACCACGGCAACCTGCAGGAGACGTAAGTGAGGATGATGATGGTGAGGAGAGGGCTGGCACCATGTCCCCATAGGCATATGAGGGGCTGAGCTGCCTGGGCACAGCTCCATGGGGCTGGCAGAGCCACCACTCTCCTGTTTTCATTGCAGGCTCTGGAATAAAGAGACCTTTGATTACCTCCTGGGACACCTGGGCTCGGCGGCAGCGAAGGAAATGGGACTTTTCCTCATTTCTGGCTACAACCTGTTCACGCAGCCGGTGCCGGTAAGGAGCAAGTCACAGCCAGGGCTGGGAAGGGTTCCAGCTCGGAGGCTGCCTGGGGGCGGGCAGGGTTGTACTTCTTCCCAGCCCATGTTCTGAAGGCTTTCAAATCCTTCCAAGTTTGTCTTGTGACAGTTTGCTCGGGACTCGGTGTTTTCTGTGCCCTCGGTGTGAAGTAAGGGCTGAGCCCTCGGAGGGTGGGATCCAGCAGAGCATCGCTGGCCTTGGAGTGTGCTCCTTCGCCTCTGCTCCTTCAGGATGGGCTGTGCAGTGAGGATGTGTGTCCCCCACAGCTTCTGTCCCGTGGTGGCACGGCCATTTGTGCTCGTTAAGGAGCTGGGACATTTTTCCCTGTTGCAGGACCCATCTTGGAAGAACATCGTCCTGGGCTTCAGGAACTTGACACCAAAAGAGCTTGAGCTCTTCCCTGGTTACAGGTATTTTCCAGTCTGGTTTTCCCCCGGGTCTGTCTGGATGGCCCCAGGCACCCCTCTGTTGAAGACAGTTTGCTCGGGACTCGGTGTTTTCTGTGCCCTCGGTGTGAAGTAAGGGCTGAGCCCTCGGAGGGTGGGATCCAGCAGAGCATCGCTGGCCTTGGAGTGTGCTCCTTCGCCTCTGCTCCTTCAGGATGGGCTGTGCAGTGAGGATGTGTGTCCCCCACAGCTTCTGTCCCATGGTGGCACGGCCATTTGTGCTCGTTAAGGAGCTGGGACATTTTTCCCTGTTGCAGGACCCATCTTGGAAGAACATTGTCCTGGGCTTCAGGAACTTGACACCAAAAGAGCTTGAGCTCTTCCCTGGTTACAGGTATTTTCCAGTCTGGTTTTCCCCCGGGTCTGTCTGGATGGCCCCAGGCACCCCTCTGTTGAAGGGCAATGAGGATGAGAAACTGGGGGTGCTGAAGTGCCCTTGCTTCATTACAGCCTCTTCCCTTAAAATCAGTAGGAAACACCCCAAACATACGAAAAAAGCAGCAGCCCAGCATATAAACCATTCCAACCCCTTTCTGGCTTCACCAGATATTGTCAAAGTGGGAGAAGAAAATCAGCAGACGGTGTTTTATGCTGTAAAGGAAGGACAAAACCATGCATTTATTGTGCAAGGGGAAGGGCAATGAGGATGAGAAACTGGGGGTGCCGAAGTAGCCTTGCTTTGTTACAGCCTCTTCCCTTAAAATAAATAGGAAACACCCCAAACATACAAAAAAAGCAGCAGCCCAGCATATAAACCATTCCAACCCCTTTCTGGCTTCACCAGATATTGTCAAAGTGGGAGACGAAAATCAGCAGACGGTGTTTTATGCTGTAAAGGAAGGACAAAACCATGCATTTATTGGGCAAGGGGGAATTAAGTTGTGGCTGCCCCATCCCTGGAGGGGTTCAAGGCCAGGTTGGAGGGGGCTTGGAGCAACCTGCTCTAGTGGAGGTGTCCCTGCCCAGGGCAGGGGGGTTGGAACTTAATGATCTATAAGATCACTTCCAACTGGGGGCCTGGAGTTGCAGGGAGCACTGGGGCAGGAGGCGGCTGCTCGAACTCAAACCATTCTATGATTCTATGAATTGGGGGCCTGGAGGTGCAGGGAGCACCGGGGCAGGAGGCGGCTGCTCATGTAAAGCTGCTGTGGGTCCTCATGGCTTCCTCTCCTCGTCTGGTTTCAGCTATGGTTGGTTCAACACGGCGCTGATGCTGGAGTGCAGGAGCTACCTGCCGTGGCTCACCAACAGGTGAGTGTGGGGCTGGGGCGGGTGTGGGGGTCCTGCCTGCTCCCCCCGATTTCTCTGCCCCACAGGACGTGGGAGGCAGCTGTGGGTTTTCATCCTGCACATCAGGTGTTACCCCAGATCCTTCTCTAGTGCCAAGTTGGTGGCTGAGTTTAGGCAGCTCCTCGTTGCCCCAGCGGGGTAACAGACTCCTTGCTGTAATAGTTGGCCCAGGAGTGTATTTTTGCGTGACAAAAATGAAAGTAATGGGACACTTAGAGCTGCATCTGAGTGCTTTTAGCTATGGGAGTATTACTCGAGGCTTGGTTTTGTTGTCATTTCCAACGTGGAGTGGGTCCCCTGTCTGCAGCAGAAAGCCCAGGCTTAGCAGGACTGATCACCCTCGGTAGCTCTGGGCCATTAGGGAAATGAGCTAATGACTGGAGACCTTTAGGAACCACCAAGAAGACCGTGGATGTTTATTACAAGGAGCAACAAGCCGTTCCACCTCTGGTTATCAATTACAAGCACTAATTTGAACGGTACATTTGCTTTTAATTTGCCGGCAATGAATGAACTCGTTCTTCCCAGGTTAACGCAGAGAGGAGTGAAGTTCTTCCATAAGAAGGTTGAATCTTTCCAGGAGGTGAGTGGTGACGTTGAGCCGGGGCAGAGCAAGCATGGCCCCGTCCCAGTGTGGAGATGCAACCTCCAGCGGGCACGTGCTGCTCCAGGATCTTCCTTGGCACAGCTGGGACAGGGGAGAGCAGCAAGAGTGTGCCAAGATCTAGGAAATAAATTCTACCAGGGAAGGGAAAGGCTCTTGGGCATCAAGAGGTGGCTGAGAGGGGATGGAGTAGGGCATTTGGCCAGTGCTGAGTGAAGATCAGCATCATGGCTTCTCCTTAAACCACAAACATTCTCCTTTCCTGCACACACACGGGGTCTCTGCGGGAGCCGTGTTGGGGAAGTGATGCCCTGGATCCAGCCCGTGTGGTTTATTCATCACCAGGCTGTTGGACCCAGTGCTTGGCTTGGCTGGGCTGCAGGGATCTGGTGATGCCTGCGGGCAGTGCCCTGCTCACCGTGCTGCCTCCCTCTCTCCTCAGGTGTTTGCCCAGGGCGCAGACGTCGTGATAAACTGCACCGGGGTGCGTGCTGGGGAGCTGCAGCCTGACCCAGAGCTACAGCCTGGCCGTGGGCAGATCATAAAGGTGAGGTGAGCACAGGGCTCGTGTCCCCCCCTCTTTTTTTTTTTCTGGAGGAGCCATTTATTAACCATGTACCTTTGCCCTCTGGGGCAAATCTTGGGGTTGCGGGCACAGGGCTCGTGTCCCCCCCTGTTTTTTTTTCTGGAGGAGCCATTTATTAACCATGTACCTTTGCCCTCTGGGGCAAATCTTGGGGTTGCGGGCACAGGGCTCGTGTCCCCCCCTGTTTTTTTTTCTGGAGGAGCCATTTATTAACCATGTACCTGTGCCCTCTGGGGCAAATCTTGGGGTTGTGGGCATAGGGTTCGTGTCCCCCCCTCTTTTTTTTTTCTGGAGGAGCTGTTTATTAACCATGTACCTACGCCCTCTGGGGCAAATCTTGGGGTTGTGGGCTGGACCCACAACTGGGATCAAGTCCTGATTCCCAGAAACGTTGGTCATGTAAAACCCTCGTGTGCGTGGAAAGCAGAGCAAAAAACCTGGATCCCATTCCTGGTCCAGCTGTGGGAATGCCTCGAGTTTCCAGCCCACTTCTTGGTTGGGTGAAGGTGGGGGAGAAGCCAGAGTCATAATGCTAACAATTAAAAGGCATAAAATCCTTGGGAGAAAAGGATGATTATTGGGGGAAACATAGACCCACGCTGGGTAGGAAGCTCCTCTGCTTGCCTGCCTGCCCTCCTGTTTCCCTGTGTTCCCACAGCAGCACAGGGAAACCAGTGCCACACAGACCCTGAGCAGAAGGGAGGGCACCACATGCAGACCCCAGTGGCCACACTGGCCCAGCTGCCCACATCCCTCCCGCTGCCTCCCCGAGCCAGGGACCCCACTCTCCCTGACCCTCTCCCTTTCGTCTCCCAGGTCCTGGCCCCGTGGGTGAAGCATTTCATCATCACTCACGATGTCAAATCTGGTATCTACAACTCGCCGTACGTCATTCCAGGGTAGGTGACAGGAGGGGTGAGGCAGGGTCTGGCTGGCTTTAGGGATGCTCTTCTGTCAGTGCTCCTACAGCACCAATTCAGATGCTGGTGTCTGCCCTGCAAGAGCCCAGGCTGGGGTTGGTACCCAGCCCGACGATGCTTTTATTTGCTGTGTGGGAGGAGAGCAGAAGGACACGGGCAGGCAAAGCTCCCATGGTCACACAGAGGGTGACCCTGGCTCAGCACTTGGATGCAAGGAGGGTCCAAAGCTGGTCCTGGGCTCCTGCGATCTCGGATCAGGCAGTACCACAGGGCTTCAATCTCCCTGGTCTTGTCCTTTTCCAAGGAGCAAATTCCACCCAAGCAAAACATGAATGCTGCATTTCTGGCACTTCCTATTGCACTGATATTTCAGGGTTAGGCAATAAGCCATTGTGTAAATAGGAACTTTGAATGCTCACGGCCTCCGAACAAAGTATTCCAAGCAATTTCTGATCACGGTCCCAGCTACATATGAATTTCCCTCCCTGTGTTTATTTTCACTTGAGCTGTCACAGCTGGACACCGGGCTGGCTCCCGAAGGAAGCAGCCGGGTCAGTGCTCCTGCATGGAGGACACCTCTTCCATGTGGGAGAGCTCAGCCCTGGGGTTCTCCCCCCACACACACCCCCCCATTCAGCCCTTTTGTCTTTGTGCTTCCCAGGGCTCCTGCAAGGTTTTAGAAAGATCCAGCAGGTACAGACACCCCCAGGTCCCCCCAGCCTTAGCCTGTCTCTCCTCCTCTGTTAATCCGCAGGAGTTTTGGAGCGGCAGCAAAAGAAATCCGTTTCTTTGTGTTCCTCACTGCAGGCATCCCGTTCCTTCCAGCTATTTTCCTCAGCCAGGCGGGAGCAGACCTGCTTGATAGAGGATGAAATGAGCTGTTTGCTTTGCCCAGGCGAGGGCCTTTGGGGTGCTGATAGCATTTAACGAATGACTTGCTGATGAGCAGACACGCAGGCACCCCTCCCTTGCCTGCTTGGCGTGAGAGTTTCTCCAGCAGGAATATGTCCCAAGCTCAGGGAGTAGCAGGATCCATAGCAGGATCCATAAGGATCCCGGTCCCTCCATGCGATGGCCCATCCCAAGGGGACATTCCTGTCATTTCTCCCCTTTGGCTTTTGGCGCAGGAGCGAGTTCACAGTCTTGGGAGGGATCTATCAGCACGGCAACTGGAGTGAGGAAAACAGCGCCCAGGATCACAAAACCATCTGGGAGAACTGCTGCAGGCTGCTCCCCGCTCTCCAGGTGGGTGACCCCAACCTGGGGCCGGGATGAAGGACCCTTGGAGAGGGAGGGGACATGGAGAGCCCTGGGTGCTCCGGCGCAGCTGAGGCTGAGGCCAAACCACAAAATCTGAATCTTTATGTGAGGAACAGGCAGCGCCTGCCTTCAGCAGGACAGGAGAGGGGCAAAGTGACTGTTGCTTACACAGTGTCAGCCACTGTGGTGAGAAACACACCGTTGAGAGGTGAATGGTGCACATAGAGTAACCCCAGGCTTTTTCCGTGCACCCCACAGCAGCACGTAGCACTCAGCAAGAGGGTAAAACACAGGTTTTTGTGTGTTTGTACCTGCCTGGCAGTGTCCATCATGCCCAGCTCTGGCTCTGCACACCTGGCTGGTTGGACAGGCAGGGGCTGGCATTGCTTCTGGGACAAGGTTTGTAGGATAAAGTACTGATAGAGCTGGTGAAAAATGAGAAGAAAGCTTTGGGAGGTCATGGTAAGAGCCCTCATCTGGTGGGTCACGTCGTGCCGTGATGTTTGGGGGCTGTAACTGAGAGGTGCTGGGCTGGGGCTGATCTGCTTTTACTTCCAGAAAGCCAAGATCGTGCAGGAGTGGAGTGGATTGAGACCGGCACGTCCCCGTGTTCGCCTGGAGCGGGAGACCCTCCGCCACGGGCACTCCCAGGCAGAGGTACCGTGCACACCCCCCAGATGGGTCGTTAACCCACAGTGCCATTAACCACCACGCTAATTGCGCGTCGGTCGCCTTCATCAGTCACCTTCATCAGTCCTCGCGCCGCATTAACCACCACGCTAATTGCGCGTCGGTCACCTTCATCAGTCCTCGCGCCATCTCCCCTCTAATAACGGGTGCATCTTTGAGCCAGTTCCAGCCCAGTCTCAGAGATAAGTGTCAAAGACATCAAGTTCTGTTGGATTTTCTGGGGAGAGAGGGGCAGGGAGTGCTCCTGCCAAAGGGAAACCTGCAGCTGGAGCTTAGTCCTTAACAGACACCAAAAAAACCCATATTGGGAGGAAAAACTCCGAGGAACCAAATCCCACGGGCTCTGCTGCTCCCAGAATCACCCGAGGCACTTGTGCCCCGTGTTTCGGTGTCAGCATTTAAAGCAGTGTGGTTTTCTGCTGGCAGCCCATAAATGTACAACCCTCGTGCACGCAGGCCTCGTGTCTCCCTTTAATAAAACCTAATCCGCAGCTTTTCATAACATCCTCACGGCCTCCAGCACTGACACCAGGTTGTTGGTGTAAAAAGATTGGACTTCGGAGATTTCTACAAGTTCAAAGCTCCTCAGCAGCACAAAATGAAACAGGGTGAAGGCACCGAGGGACACTGCTGGGGCTCTACCTGCCGGGGGGGCTCTGAAAAATTCAGCTGCCTCTGTGTGGGTAGAGCTGGGTGCCAAGTGTCAAACTTCCCCGGGGCAATGGCTCTTTAAATGGCCTCTAATATATCTTTTAAGAGAAAGGAGGCTGGGGATGGGACAGTGGGCAGTGTGCTCTCGGACCCTCAGCATCCTTGGACCTTCTCCATGTAGAACCACATGAGTCTGAGTGCTCCTCAGCAGACCTGCAGAGGGAATCCTCCATTCCATGGTGTGCACGTGTCTCTGTACCACTTAGAAGAAGAGATTAAAGCTCCAAAGGGGATGGTGGCTGCAAAACGTAACTAGATGTAAGGAAAATATATGCAATTTTTAGCTGGAGAACCTTGGAAAGAAATTGGTGTCCTTAGGCAGAGCCCAGAGCGTGGTTCAAAGCGGTGCTGTGTTTTAATTAATTTAGGGACCGCTCTGTTCCTGTATCAGCACTCTGTACCCACGCTGACTGGTGCAGCTACTGATCCCAGCCACCAGTCAGGGCTCCTGCTGAAGGACAGGGATTTACCTCAGCAGGAACAGGCACCAGGTATGATGTGACACGTTCTCCTCTGAGGACCACGGCCGCAAGCCCCACTGCTGCCTTTTGGGGTGGCAGAGGATGCTCCAGGGAAACTGCCCCCAAGAGTTTCTCCTGCCTCTCCAGCAGCTTTCGGAGGGAGGGAAGGAGCAGTGGAGCTGAGCTGTGCACCAGGAGCTCCCAGATTCAAGGGTCAATCCAAAGACACTAAGGACATGAGGAAACAGCCTCAAGTTGCACCAGGGGAGGTTTAGGATGGGTATTAGGAAAAATATCTGCACTGAAAGGGTTATTAAGCCTTGGAAGAGGGAAGCGGTGGAGTCACCATCCCTGGAGGTATTTAAAAGCTGGGCAGATGTGGCTTTTGTCAGTGTTGGGTTGATGGTTGGACTCGATGATCTGCAAGGTCCTTCCAACCCAGACAATTCTATGATTCTACAACATTCCCACCCACTGTTGTGGCTCCTCGCTGCACCTAACCCCAGAGAGCTCCAGCAGAGCTTTCCCAGCCCTGACCCCTTCTCTCCTCCCCCAGGTGATACACAACTACGGCCACGGCGGGTTCGGGATCACCATCCACTGGGGCTGTGCCATGGCAGCAGCGCGGCTCTTCGGGACCATCCTGCAGGAGAAGAAGCTGGCCAGCCCCCCGCAGCCCCGCTTGTGAGTTGCCAGCTCACCCGGGATTACTGTGACAGCAGTAGCTTAGAAATCACAGCAAGAAGATGCCAATAACACAGCGATACACGTGGGCCTTTCAACCCTCCCCCCAAATCTCCAAAACCAGTTCGTAGCATCCACTTTTCAGGTTTCTGCCAGTTCTGTCGATGCCAGTTGCCAGCCGGCCGAGTCCCCTCCACCCTGGCCTTCCACAGCCTACCTAAAGGAAGTGCTTGAAAATATGAACTCGTTAGCTGTGACGAAGCGCCCTTCTCTCCCCGGGGGATCAGCCTGCAAAGGGCAGGCAGGGTTCAGCTGGAATCGTGACAATCCTGCAGTTCATCTGCGCCACGGGACGGGACCTGAAACCGAGCCCGTGCCACCTGAGGTCTTCCCTGCCTGCTCCGACACCCGGCGTGTAATTAGATTTGCAAGCTTCCCCCCTCAGGAGGCAAAAGCTCCTTAGTAGGAAGAAGCTCTGAAGCTCCCCGGGAAGTAACGACAGCTCTAAAAGCACGTGTTTCGGTTACAATTACGTGCTCACGTTCATGCCAGGACAAAGCCCGGCTCCCCAGCACCTGCTTAGTGTATCTGGCAATAGACAGCAGGCCTTGCCTAAAATGGGCTTTCCAAATGATGTTTTTAGCAACAAAAGCAACATGTCCCAGCCCCGTGTACTTGCCAGATTCTATATATAGCAGAGAGCAGACACAAAATAGCTGTTCTCCTCCCTAAAACTCCCACGGCCCCTTCAGTTTCTCCTTTCCAGCTCGGAGAGAGGAGGTGGCTCCGGGCAGGTTGTGCCTCCCCAAGGAGTTGGGGACAGATCCCAGGAGGGTGGGACTTTTCTGGGGCGTTCAGTGCCACTGCTGGGGACCCAAAGTGTTGGTCTGATGATACAGTTTGGCTGATTTTTCCATGCCATTTGACTTTCCTGCTCTAAAACCCATCCCAGACAAGGTACTGAATGGTCAGGAAGCATTAACCTCAAATCCCAAGCCTGTCCCGAGCCCAGCACACGGTCCCTGCCTCGCTCTCCTCTGCAGAAAACTGTTTCCTACTCATCTGTGATGCAGCTTCTCTCTCCCTCTGACTCCGTGTGCCAGAAATAGCTCATCAACCTGATCCCTGATGCACCAGTGAACGGGAGACGCTGCCCTGCAGCTGGGGCTCCTTCTACCTCCTGGGCACCTGGATTTAAAACAGTCCCACGGCAAGCACACCGGAGCTGCTCCCTGTCCAAGGGCTGGTCTCCTGAGGCGCTGCTTCAGTGTCACCAAGAGAAACCCCTGAAGGCTTTTTAGGAAGCCACGGGGCAGGCAGTGCTGCTGGAGACAGTCCATGCACACAAGATCTGCGTATGAGACTCGTCTCATTCCCAGCAGCGCGTAGGAAGCCACGGGGCAGGCAGTGCTGCTGGAGATGGTCCATGCACACAAGATCTGCGTATGAGAGTCGTCTCATTCCCAGCAGCGCAGTGGAGGTTACGGTGCCAGCGCAGCCGTGGCCCCAGGGGACCTTCCAGCAGCCTCATTTTCCACCACACGCTATGTGACCATTGTGTTCTTCTCCAGCTGACACACCCTGAGCAGTCGGAAAGCTCTGACGAACTTTGCTGAGCGCATCTGCTAATTGTCTGCCCTTTTTGCCAAAGCAGCGATGGTTGCTCTCACGGCAAGGGTCAGAATTTCTCAGCAGCTGCTGCACCGTCCCCTTTTCCTCCTGTGAAGGTGTGAGAGGGTTGTGTTTGTCTCTGCTGTCACACCTGCGGTGCTGGCAAAGTGACGTGGTGTGGGAATTCCCATTCCTGCCTCACTCGAGTCCAAGGCAACAACTCTCTGTCAAAGCCACCACCGAGAGCAGGTGACAAGTTCCTCTGGCTGCCATTTTGGCCCAACGCTGGTGCTTCTCACACCCTTGTGAAGCACAAACCCACCTTCTGCTGCCACCACAGCAGGGGTGACGAGAAGCCCTGGTAGCCCCCATGGAGTCAGGGCACATTCAGGGCAGAGCAGTGTCCATCCCGGGAAGGCAGCGGAGCATGGAGGGGTTTTAAGAGCCTGCTGATGGCTGGGAACTGGGGAACCTCTGCCCTGAGCTTAAAAACCAAAGGGAGACATAAGGGAGACACAGGAAAATTAGGAACCCCCCATCATGTCCACTCCATCTGTCAAAAGGGTTTCCCACTAACCTGGCAGCTCACCTGAGACATTGCAGCCACATTCAAAGGGGTACAATCAAGGAAAGGCTAGAAAAAAGAAAACAGTAGCTGGAGAAAAATTTACTATCTGCCCTGAGCTTAAAAACCAAAGGGAGACATAAGGGAGACACAGGAAAATTAGGAACCCCCCATCATGTCCACTCCATCTGTCAAAAGGGTTTCCCACTAACCTGGCAGCTCACCTGAGACATTGCAGCCACATTCAAAGGGGTACAATCAAGGAAAGGCTAGAAAAAAGAAAACAGTAGCTGGAGAAAAATTTACTATTGATTCATGCTAAAGCTCATGGTCTGTGATATCGCCGTTCAGTGAAACAGCAGCCACTCGGTGTCACTTATTCCAAATATGAGATATTAAGGACCACGTTCTCCCCCCACGTGCACTGCTGTAAATCCCAAACCACCTCCCTGATGTCGGCAGAGCTTCGCTGGGTCCAGGGGTGCAGCAAATCATTGCGTAACCTGCAAGATGCAGCTGATTCTTCTGCTCTTACAGCCTCGAGGAGCAGCTGATCTGTGACCTTACACAGCTGCTTAGAAAACAAACACATGATTAGAGGTGTAATTCTATTTGCAGTCTAATTTTGCTTATTTTCTAAAAGGCCAAAATTTAATATATGTGCACAATAAAGGTAATATTCAAATATTTCGTGTGTGATGCTTTCGCTTCTTAACGATGGCACAGATAACGCCTCAAAAGCTTATTCCTTAGAAACATCCCATGTCTCCCCACACATTTTGCCTGAACGCATCCTCCTGCGGGAGGAAGAGATGTCGTTTCAGATTCTGAGCAGCCACATCAACCTGAAATATCATTGTGTGAAATCACCTGTGCCTCGAGGAGCAGCTGATCTGTGACCTTACGCAGCTGCTTAGAAAACAAACAGACACGATTAGAGTCATAATTCTATTTGCAGTCTAATTTTGCTTATTTTCTAAAAGGCCAAAATTTAATATATGTGCACAATAAAGGTAATATTCAAATATTTCGTGTGTGATGCTTTCGCTTCTTAACGATGGCACAGATAACGCCTCAAAAGCTTATTCCTTAGAAACATCCCATGTCTCCCCACACATTTTGCCTGAACGCATCCTCCTGCGGGAGGAAGAGATGTCGTTTCAGATTCTGAGCAGCCACATCAACCTGAAATATCATTGTGTGAAATCACCTGTTTGCCTGGCTGCTGTTGCTAATTGCCCCCCAGCCCATTAAGAACTCCTATTCCCTAGTACCGAAATGTCTGGGACGCTCTCCTGCAGCTCAGCCCATCACTCCAAAGGTACTTCATGCCATACAGATCAAACCCTGCAGGACAGAAGAGACTGGGGTTGGCTTTTGTGGGGAGGGCAAGGTAAGGGAGAGGCAGTGGGATGTCAGGACTCTCCTGACACGCACAAAGCGCCGTCTCCCATGGCCGGCATCAGCACATTTTATGAACTCCAAGTTCTCAACAACGATCGCCTATGACACAGAACAAAGCTGGAAACACATCAAGTATCAGTAAAGTTACTCTCTGTAAGCAAACAGCAGCTCTGGCATTTGGGAAAAACAGAATGAGCTTTCGAAATGGCTGAGGATGCCAAAAAAAGTTCAGAGAAAACACAGGAGGATGAATATTCTCCCCAAGTATTGCTTCCGCCATACAAACCCTCCCGGAGTGACCGGCTGTTTCCATTCCCAGAAATAAGACTCCTCATCCCAGCGGACCGTCGGCAGCTGCCCAAGCTGTGAGAAGGAAGATTAATGCAGGCTGAGATGAGAACTCACTGCGTTCGCATGCAAAGCATTCCCAGATCATTTTTTGACTCAGACACGAACAGCCTTATGTTTGTAAATCACCGGACATCAAAATAAGAGTATTATTTAAAGGGTAGAGGAACGCAGTCAGGGTTATGCACTCAATTATCTTTTATAAAAACAAGATATGTCAAAGGAAAGCTCACATGTCAAAGTCAATAAAGAGCAGGAACTCTCCCTGCCCCGAAGTGCAGACACACGCTGAGCCTCCTCCTCCCGACGCGCCCTCATGATCTGCCATCACATATTCCAGCATCACAGGCATCGCTACAAACTGCCCACAGGCAAGAAGCAAAACCGACTGGTTTTCATTGTCTGAAGTCCATTAAAAGCAAAAAGCAACCAGAGATCTTCAGATAATTAAAAAAAAAATGAGCTGGAGTTATCTATGAAGTTACTTATAACGCGAACATCAATCCGCAAAAAGCAACCAGAGATCTTCAGATAATTTAAAAAGAAATATTTAGCTGGAGTTATCTAGGAGGTTGCTTATAACGCAAACATCAATCCTGTGGCTGTTCTTTGTGTCCAAACGTGTAAAACACACACACAAAACGAGTGGGATCCACAAAGTGCCGAGCCTCAGCGTCTCCAGCTGAGGCCACGCAGCAAGACATAGAAATGGTAAAGTTCCTGGCCCTTCACCAAAATCCCACAGAACAGCCAAAAGCACTTTTACTGAAAAAACTATTTATTTGTTCAACATAAAATATCTAGTGTGGAATTGAACTATCCAATGTCGCATCGGTAACAGAGGAACAAAAGGAGTATTTTACAACAAGCTTGATATACACAAAGTTTTCAAACATTAAAATGTATCCAGCTTAGAAACTGTACATTCAAACACAGGAAAACATTCAACGTTCTTCCGGCAAGCATTTAGGAATAATAAATCATTCCATCAAAGCACACTTGGAGAATTATTTTTTCCCACAACAGCTTTGCACATTAATATATTGGACATTTAGCAAATCTCTGAATCCCACAATTCTGTTTGCTCTCAGTTTCGATTCAAAATTACCTCACTTCATTGTTTTAAATGAACTAGCTCTATTAATTCCTTCATCAGTGAAAAATACTCGAGAGTGTGTAAAACAATCTTTGGAAGCTTATTATATACATCAATGGTGTTGCCATATTAACAAAATATGACTTGTGATTATTTATAGGCTATTGTGTATCAACCCCAATGTTCTCCAGTTTTTCAGTGAACAATCAAAAATGTCCTTCTAATAATACTCAAGATCCTGCAAAAACCTGAACTTCAGTTTCTTCAGTGCCCAACAGGCTCCTACTGGTTCCAGTGAGGTGGGATCAGCTGTGCTGGGCTCCTGCCCGTCTTCCTCTATTGAGCTGATCCAAAGCCCAGGAATATCCAGGGGAGACTCTCCCAGACTTCAGTGAGCTTTGGATCGTGCTTTAGGCAGCACTGTCTATAAACCAAAAGCCCCAGAGTAGGAAGTTGTCTCAGCAGGACCCATCTTGGCCATTTGCATCGTTCTATACATTTTCAGTGCAGAATTCGTAAAAAGTGAAAAGCAAAAATGCCTTCAGTTTTCTTTTAACACCGTAAATGTCACAGGTTAAAAGTGAACTACTCAACAGCGCGGAAAGGTTTTGCACTACCTAGAAATCTTGACCTGGGAAATAGTTTGTTTGAAGTATACAGATGTGCAAGTTTCTGAGAGATATATATACTTCAGCCAGAACTCTCCGAATGCACACTTTGAAGGCCACTGCAATGCAGTCCTTTAAAACTGTTGAATATTGACTCAGAAAAACAAAGCGATCTGTGAACATTAACACTGGAAAAGCAGAATTTGAACTCAAGGGGCTCACTAACAGACAGACACACTCAGCAGCGTGGCTCTCGGGTGGCTTCTCCTTCGGGCCACGGATGTCACACACCTTATATTCATTCTCACCTCTAGTACAGGCTTACACCCCGCTGAATTCATCCGGTTTTGGGGTGTCCACCTACAGATGTGCAAGTTTCTGAGAGATATATATGTACTTCAGCTAGAACCCTCCGAATGCACACTTTGAAGGCCACTGCAATGCAGTCCTTTAAAACTGTTGAATATTGACTCAGAAAAACAAAGCGATCTGTGAACATTAACACTGGAAAAGCAGAATTTGAACTCAAGGGGCTCACTAACAGACAGACACACTCAGCAGCGTGGCTCTCGGGTGGCTTCTCCTTCGGGCCACGGATGTCACACACCTTATATTCATTCTCACCTCTAGTACAGGCTTACACCCCGCTGAATTCATCCGGTTTTGGGGTGTCCACCTCACTGTAAACACAGCTGGCAGCAAGCCCACGTGGTGGGACACGAAAGCACCTGGATGTGCCCCCCATCAGGTCCATGCCAGGACTGGCACGCTCTCAAGTGCCTTCACCAGCAGGAGGGAGAAGATGGTGGTGAGAACTGTCAGTAAAGGGTGACCAGTCCATACCATGCAAAGGCAAAGTAGGTTTTCAAGCTCGCTGGTCACACTTGTGGTCTAACATCTCATCTAAATCCATCCAGGAACTGCTTCCTCACCACCGATGTCCTGTCCACCTCTTGTATACCAGAGGGACAGCCCAAGGGGAAACAAGTCCATCTATCCCTACTTTGGTGGGGCAGCACCGAGCTACCCCAGGCGCATAGTGCCTTTGGGAGAATTATCCAACTACAGCTTGACAGAAGGAGATGACAAGGAATGATTTGCACTCATTGTCAGTGCCGTGAGAGCCCTGTCTGTTTCCTGGGGACCGACTGGAGCTGGAGCTTGCTGGAGACCCGAGCACACAGGGTACAGAGACAGCAGGGACAGAGAAAACCCAACAGCACAAAGCAACAGCCACCGGGACAGATGGTGGGTTCCTGTGTCAGCAGCCACATCTAAAGTGGGATCCCCTGTGAGCTGAGCTGCATTTTCATATTACTGGGAAAAGGAAAGTTTAGACCAACCACTTCTGGAGTCTTTCACTGCAGTCACCATTGAGTGGTAAATGAATGGACAGACATCTTGGTGCCTTGTCAAACTTTAAACTTTTCTCAGCAGAAGATACCCACCCGCGGAATATCAATAACCTCTTTGGCATTTTTTTATTAGTCTGAGCTTCCTCAGTTTCTTTAAGGACTTATCCACTTCTAATTTTCCCTCAGTGCTACAAACAAACAGCCTAACACCTCTTGGAGCACGACTGCCATGCTGTGAAACCCAGAGTGAAAGCTGAACCCCAACTGTGTTCATTTGCATTGCACCCAAACGTGGACTCGGTGACCTATCCTTGCCCCACAGAAAAGGGGACAGAAAACACTACTTAAAATACTCTACTGTGCAAAAAATTTGTCGCACACTTGCCTATGTTTACGTGAGACAACTGACCACACACACTAGAAAAACGTATTGCTTCCCCCAGCCCAGTGATTAGTGTTTAGTCCATCTCACTTACATTTGGTTGTGTGCTCCATAGCCTGGAATCCTGAATTATCAGTTGAGCCCCTGGATGAGACACGTCTCAGCCTCCTTACGTGTCTTCTTGCTGCACACCCACAGGCTCCAAAATCTGAATTCCTGACAAACAAGATGAATATCTCCTCACCCAAACTCTGTTACATTCTTGGACAAGAGCAGAATCATCAACCTGGAGGAGCGACATCCGAAGGAGTGAAGTTCCTCATCTAAGGACGATGGCAGTTCGGCTCTTCCTATGATTTTTGCTCATTTATGACATGATGCCAGCTACATTCCTTTGTCACCAGCTTGACGTTACAGTCAATGTACAATCAGTACATTCCTTTGTCACCAGCTTGACGTTACAATGTACAATCAACAGCTATCGAAAAGTTCTGCCCAGCTTCTGGAGGCCACCTTCTGTTGGGAGACACCCGAAAGCAGCTCCATCAACTGCTACACGCAGCTGTTTGGACTGAGGCATTTTTATCCAAGGTTTGGGCTCCACCACTGCGAGAACATACTCAGGCAAATTGAGCAGAAACATACCTGGACCCATGCAGAAAACCCCAGCGTGCATCTCCACACACAAAGAGACACCGGTACAGCCGAAGCACCCGTCACCAAGCCACAGACAGAGAGCTCCATGATTCTGGCAATGGGAGAAAAGTCCAAATTCTGCTCCAAACCACGAAGATTTACATTTCTTATATAAGGTTCCATCTCTGCAACGACATCACTCCTCACTGACTCAAGCTACCTGCCTTGGATGGGAGAAACGTTCAGAAAATCCTTTCCAAGCAAATCAGTGCCTGTTAATTCTCAAGGAACAGAACCCACAAGCAAAGGAACTAGAAAGCATCGGTTGATTTGGCGTTATCACATTTTGGTGTTGTTCATGGTTCAAAAGTGCAAGGCAGGCATCTAATTCATAAAATCTATTCTGTAGTGTATGGAATCCACCGTGTGCTATGCCAGGTACACAATAAATATTAATCTTTTGTTTTTAGGCATCAAGAGTACATTATTTTAATTACAGCTTATACTGAGTTGCATTCAGTTAGCTATTTGCTTGACACGGGACATTTTAAGCTGAATAGCTGACCATGCAAGCACAACAGACTTAAGAAAAATCCCTTCCTGCTAAACTTCAAATGAAATCCGCATCAAATGCCTCTCGATACAGAAGTAAAGTTTTGATGAGTGTGAGCAAAGAGCAGCAGAGACACAATTTGCTTAGGTTCAACCCAAAAGTTCCTGCGGTTTGACACATGACATTGGCAGTGACAGTATGGTCAGCTTTCTATGCTTCAGGGTTGGATTTTTTTTTGTGAAAGAGAACTTGCTCCTATCATTCATTCTTCCAGCAGGTTTTCACGTCCCATCATTCCTGTGATCCGGAGTTTGACCTGGTGACCCCTGGGGAATGAGATCCTCTCCCAACCATCTCCTGTCCCCATTCCCTGTGGCTGGACTCCTGTAACCCACGACCTTTTGTTTCGATGGGCAAGAAGCAGGAAGCCACGGCGGCCAGCAGGCAACATCCACTGTAAACCACCAGTGTTAAATAGACTGAAGATTCCAACATCACCTGCAGAAAAAAAAAAAAATAGGCAGAAAATACAGAATAATATCCCTGAGCTTTTTCACAGAAAGAAATATAAATACTAATGCAGTAGAAATTTTAATTACAGCATTGGAAAAAATGTTGAACGCGCATTGCTGCATAATTTCTTTGCTCAGTGATGACACAGAGCTATTGAACGCTGACAAAACAAGTGCCAGGAGGTGCTGCTGCCCTTATGTATTAGACAGGACTTCAGCAAACCACAGGTTTTCCACCTACCACTTGGCAGAGCTTCTGACACATTCTTCTGAGTCCTGCACCTCTGCAGCCTGGCTCCCCCAACCTCCCTGTCCTCGTTCCACATGCCTTTAAGGTTTGTATCCTCCAGGACCTCAGCCTGGGATCTCAAGGGAAAGGTGGCATTGCACCACACACAGAAACTCCTTGCCTCTCACAAATCCCATCTCCAGATGGTGGTTTCCAAGGTGTCCTTACCTGCATCCAGCAGTGTGCTCCTCGGTTATTTATCCCTCATCATATGGACCTCTGGAGCAAGAGGTAGATGAACCTGAACTCTACTCAAGGAACAGGCAACAACCCTCCTTCAACACATCACGCACAGATTGCCCTTGGTTTGCCCCTGACAGCAGAAAAGCAGGTTCTCCATCACCTTCCTGTGCTTTCAGTCTCAGAAGAAGGGGTTTTACCTGTGCGATGAAGGGGGTGATGAGAGCTCCCACTCTTGCCATCCCACTGCATGTTCCCAGGCCCAAAGCACGTGTGGCTGTTGGATAAACCTGTCAACAAAGCATCAGTCCATTAACCCTAGTGGGAAGTTCTCTTCCCTCTAGTCTCTTAAATCAATGGAAATTAATACATGGTGCTACAGCAAGTTTTGTTAGACAATGACAATGAGATCATCAACTCATATCTGGGGTAAGGTCCATTGTGAAGAGGTCATAAAAATGACTTTCCCACCATTTTCTCACTCCCCTTAAATATTCTCATTACAAAAACAACCTCCTTACCTCGGGAGTGTAAACATAAGCAGCCTGAAATCCTCCTGAAATAAAAGCTCTTGCAATGAAGAGCAGCACAGTAAGAACATTTCTGTGAGAATAAAAAGGAGAGCAGTGTTTGGGATTGTTCCGTACAATCTGTTTGTTTAGCTTGGAGGCAAGTGCAATCAAAATGCTAAAATCGTTAGAACGATTTCTTTTGTTTTTTAATGAACCGTTTGTATTTTTTCTGGACCTTTAATATAACAATGATGCCAAACAATCTGCATTCCCACAAGCACATCAGTTTTCTAAGTGCATTCATTCCAACCGACAGCTGTGGCCTATTGAAATAAGGAGCGAATGCCTAAGCTTATCTAAATAAGAAAAATATATTCCACGTTATGAATGGTGCTAATAAAAAAAAAAATGAGAGGGAAATGAGGGTGCAGCTTTCCTGTTTAAAAGATACAAACCTAGGTACCACCTGGATATTTGCAACTTTGTAAGGTTTCTTATTACAAGGTTTCTGTACTGTAAATTTCTTTTACCATGCCTGAAAAGGCGGATTCTCAAAGCTCAGCTGGAAATTTGGTACCGTTAAGATTCAAGGGCAGAGCTGCCAACTGACTTGCTCTTTGGAAAATCTGCATGAAGGACAGATTCTGAACAATACCAAAATGGGAAGCCAAGTTCTTTTTAAAGTTGGGCCCCATGTACCTGCGATACCAGCATTGAGCTCCACCAGACGTGCTGGATACAACATCGGGGTTGTGCCAGTCTGTGACTAATTGCTTCTCTTGTAATGGTGCCACAGCACCTAAACCTAAAGACTGGGCTCAGTTGTAAGGAACTGTCCCCCAGTAAAGTCAGCCTGGGGAAACACAGGTAGCACATGGCAGAGAACAGCACAGGAACCAGCTACAGAGGCTCAAGACATCAGATCTGATTTAAAAATTGTCCAAAGGTTGCCTCCTACTCAGACATAAACTCTTACTTTCTCCTTTGGATTGTTCTTTCAAACTCTGGTGAGCAAACCTAACACCATTCTTAATTGTTCCTCCAGTTGTGCACGACCATCTCATGGCTTTTCAAACCACCACTTCCCCTTCTCCTGCCGTAATCAAGAGAGAACGTGGATGAATCAGGTATACCAGCTGTTCACTGCTTTCTACTTACCTTCCAACGCAGAGAAACAGCAGAAGACTGCAAAACGAGAAGACAAAAAAGGACAGGGCCATGGTTTTCTTGCGGCCTATCCGATCAATAATCCATAGTGTTACTAACACACCTGCAGAAGGAGACAAGTTGACTGCTGGGAGTCGAGCAAAGGCAGAGGCTGCAGCAGCCAGCTTTTAACACACCTGGGTTACTTAGATTTAGAATTTTCTTCTCTCTTTCTTTAAAATACTTTGCTGGCAGAGGCATCGGGCAGGGGTATAGAATGGATTGCCCTAACTGTTGGTGCCCCATGAAAACCAAAGTTCTGTGTCCCAGCTGGTGAGTCTTGCTTCCTGTTCACAGCCCCTCATGTCCCCACACCCACGTGCCCACACACTCAGGGGCTCCGTGCTGACGTAGGAGTGAGCAATTAACTCTGACATCTGTTAACCACTGATTATTGTGGTGGTTACCAACGGGAATGCTAAAAATGCCTCCCCTATGTCTCATTGGAATATCTTTTCTTCAACTTCCAAACACTGTTCCCTGCTAATCTTCCTACTGCTAGATTTAAGTGCTCTTTAGAACTTAGTATTTTCTTTCCATTGTGTTAGTTATGTGCTGCCACCAAATTATTTCTCATCTGCTCTTTGATAAAGGAAATAGATAAAGCTCAGTAAGTCTCACATCATGAAGTATTCTCTCTTATGCAACTTTACCAGATCCTTTTAAAAGCTGACATACACCAAGTGTGGGGATTATTCAAGCGTCAGAGTCACCAGTGTCATATTCAGAGGTATCTCTGTTGATATTTCTTACTCCTGCTTTCGTCTGTGTCAGGATCAAATCAGTCCTTTCAGTGACAGCATCAGTCCCAAAGGACTCTCCTTTCTGCCCACTGTCCATTGACATCATTCCCAGCACAACTGCTGTACAGGACAGTCCTCCTATTAGGTAGTGACTATGCATATTTATCAGTCATAGACTTACAACTTTTCACCAATCAAATAGCTCTCCTTGAGCATTTGTCCCCAAAAGTATGATCTAGAGCAGTGAAAAATAACCTGACCACTGCCTCACAGTATTATTTCAAACAGATTAACGCTGAGAAATCATCTTCTACATCTGAAGCAATGATGGCTATTACACACTAACTATCTTGCTTGTTCTGTGTCAGACTGTTCATTGAAATTCACTGGAATTGACGGGAAATCACGACTGAGGCTGGACACAGCCCTTTAGGGAGCAAGTTCTCCATTGATTCACTATTCCCATGATCCTTTTAAAATAGTTCTGGAAAGTCATTTAATGGATAAAAGTTCAAGTGCTTCTGCCCCTTTGATTTAATTGTTACTCTTCCTCTGAATGCTTAATACGTTGCTTGGATAGAATCCATTGTCAGATGGGCCATTACAGCTCCACAAAGCAATTACTGGTGATTTTTATCTGCAGTGATCACAGGGGCAGTGAAGAGAGTCACAGCTACTGTGTGTGAGCTGCACAGATCGAGGAGTCCCAGTGAGGAGCTCCAGTGCTGTGGGAAATATACTGGTATCAGGGCCAGACAGAAGAGCCTGTTTCATCACTTGTACCAGAGCCCCTTCTGATCCCACTGAGCCACCAGAACTGGTGCTTCTTGTTGCCACTTACCAGGGAATTCTGACAGGGTCGTCCAGAGCAGATCAGTGTAGTCTTCCTCTGTCAGATACTCACAGGTCAGGCTGCATTTTGCTTTAACTTCTTCCCTTCTACTGGATACTGTAGGAAGAAAAAGAAAAACCCAAACATTTAGTATATTTTAAGTAATCTCTTCTCTTTCTACCTTCCTTTACTCCTGTTATGTCTTTATCATTCTACTGCTGAAACTGATGGAAGGGATGCACTATTTTTCAGTCCAGGACTCATGACAGTGAACAGACTTAATATGAATAATTCAGTTTCTCCCTACAAAAATTGGGATACTAAATAATCTATACTTTCAGAAGACTGAATAATACCGTGTCTTTGTAAAACCAAGCATTTTTTAAAGGATACACGCTCCTTTGTGGAGTCTAATCAGAGCTAGACATCTCGAATAGCTAATACACCATTGTACAAGCTTGGGATCTGTGTGCTCTCCCAAAACTATCCATCTTCTTTCTGTAATTTTCCAACTATCAGACAGCTTTCACTAATTACAAGTGTTCTGAATACAATCACGCCTCCCCTGGGGAATCAAACTTTTCAAGCCTCTTCTTAATGCAGTCAAAGCACTTTTTTTTTTTTTAAACAAAAATTTGCAATAAAAAGGGCGATGGTTTCACACCATTATCTTTTTTTCTCAGCAGGTCATCACATCTTGAGAACCTGGGAGCTCCACAGCAGCAGCAGTTATCTCTGTCTCAGAACTAATTAGGCCTGTCAAATCTGGAAATGGAAGTTTATTCAGTCACTTTTTTCTCCAGAAGAACAGATACTTTTTCTAACAGGACTCCCTTGAAGGTTGTCTTGCTGTTTTACATTTCGGGCTCAGAGACCCTGCAGGACCTCTCTGTGCAGAAGAGGAGGAGGAACAGTCTGTCAAAAATGTTTAAAATAAGTAACCCTTTAAGTGGATGCTTTAAAATTCAGGCTGGCAGCTACAGCCCTTGCCAAACTAACAGCAGAAGGCCATCTAATAAAAGATATTCCACCACTTAACAGGGTATATATTTAAAAAGAAAAGATGGACCAGTACTCACTGCTGCAGACGTCTCCTGCTTGGAAGAACTCTGTAGTTAATAAAACTAACCCATAATATGAAAAAGCATTGGAAAACCTGCAAGGAAGAAAATGAGAGGGGGAGTCTCAGCCGGTCCAACCGATGGTAAACAACATGAATCAAAATTGAACCCACTGTGTGACGACTTCCACTAAGTGCTACCTCAAAGCTATTTCCTATCAGCATTTACAAAATGAAAGGGCAATTAGATGGAGAATGCTAGTGATTGGGTGGTTTAATCAATTACGAATCAATACAATTTGGGTGGTTTTTTTTTGAGGAGGAAGTTGCTGTATTTTAATGATACTGTAAAATACCTCCACTAAAAACCATTTAGAATTGTGCCCGCACTGAACCATTTATATTTCCTCTTACCATATAAACCAGAGTAACAATGTGGTCCATCTAAAATGGGGTGTAAAAAGGTCCCTCATTTTTCCTCGGTCTTCCTGTTGAAAACAAGCAGAGATCAGATGATCAGAGTGGGCTCACTGGTCCTGAACTGGAGGAAGATGCAAAGTGGCAAGGGATAATACAATACACACTACGAGGTACAGTATCTCAGGATGAGTGGTTTCAGCTGAAGGCTCTTCAGGTTGTAGGAGCCACACGGGAGCTGGGATCCACGTAAAGAATTCCAACTCCAAGGGGAATTCTTTAGGAGCATAACGTTATCAAAAGCAGTTCATGCACGGGGCACACTACTCCTCCACCAGGAAGGCGAAAAATTGTCAGAATAAGGTGGGGCTGGCAAGAAGTAGAGCAGAACTTTGCCAGTCCACAGGTGGCATATGATTCATGTGGCCCACAGCCAGCTCTGGTAAATCAGAGCAGCCCCTCAGGGCTTCTGAGGCAGGGGAAGGTTCTGAGGAACTACAAGCAGCCCTCCTGCAGGCAGACCCTTTTCAAACCCTGTGGTTCTCAGAGAGAGAGAGAGTGTGAAGGGAGCAGCATGTAAACTTGTGGTTTAAGGAAAAGTACTTTCCCACCCCACCCTGAAAACAAAACCATCCAAAACTTGGCGAGTGCTCCTGCACGGCCCATCAAAATGACCGTGACTGCACCAAATCTTGGTGAAACGCATCAGAGCTCAAATCCTCTCTGATCCAGACTTTAGAAAAATCAAACCTCCACCTCTCATTAATAAGACACTGTCATTACTGACAGGCTCCTGCCTACCTTTACAGTTTTGTTGTCATTCAAATCTCTCTCTGCCCTCCCTCCTTGCTGGCTAACTTAGTAGCTTTCTTCTCTTAAAAAAAGTCTGCTCTTTGTTCTGTAAATACAGAGTTGCTGTATATTTTGACAGGGGTGTTGAAAAGTTGGCCATATAAAGTTGAAAGGAAAACAAAAAAATCCAACACCATTCACACAGTAGTACAGAGCTCGGAAGTAACAGCCTGAATTTCTCTATGCCCTAGGAGTGAACAGGAGCTTGCAGCTTTCCCCCTCCAAAAAGTCAGGATTAGATTAAAAATGAGGTATAGCTAAAGAGTCAAATTCCATCTTGTCTCATGAGTTCTGATCTGAGCTCTTCAGTAGCCTCATAGTTTGATTTTCTTTAGAAATAGGGTCTTAGTGTGAGGTTAAACAACATCAATGCCCACGATAAAGGTCCTTTTCATTTTGAGGATTTTCAGGTACATAAAAATGAGAAATTAACTCTCCCTCACTGTGAAAGAGGCATTTATGATCATCTCTCCTATTTTTATTACTGGCTGGGACATTAAAATTAAACTTAACATTGATTATTTGCTTATAAAAATACATATGAATGTAGCCCAGTTTCATTGTATCCCACGTTATTAATGTGCCTGTTACCTGCACATACCTGTCTGGAAATAATTAATTTTCCCAAAGGCATTGGAGCTCCATTCTCTGTTGCTATCCGCTTTAAAGTGGCAATTGCTTTTTCTTGATTTCCAGATAACACATCATACCTGGCGCTTTCGGGCAGCCACTAAGAGAGCAAAGCAGAGCACACACACAACCATGTCAAAAACGCAGCAATAAAGAATCTGGGGATTTTCTTTGTGGGCTTACAGTGGGAAATCTCAGTGACTCCAGCAGACTACTCGCATGAGAAACGATTACAGAGCTAATCTTTAACAATTCATCTTTCTGCCAAATGTTAAATTCCTCACTAGGCTTTAAGAAACTGCAAAACCACCCCCCCTTTCACCATAAAGTGAGAACTCCAGTCTAAAATCTTTCCCTTCTATTACCTCGGCTTTATTCTTAAGAAATGTTAGGCATTTTTGCAGGTTCTTTACATTATACCTTCCCAGTGGGAAAGGCAAAGCATCCAGGGCAGATAACAAGATGCTGTAGGCATTCCAAAATTTGCATTTTTAAGCTGCTTTTAAAAACAAGCATATTAGCACCTGTATAACTGGAGGTATTCCTGAAAAACAATGTCAGCAACTAAGGAATAATAAGAGGTACTAAACAACCTGACAAGAACATATATCTTCGAGAAGACTGAGTGATTGACAAGTATATTACCTAATAATGCACTGAAGCTCAGGTTTAACTCATTTTAGAATCTCACCTGCATTATGCAGATTTTAACCCTGATTTGGGTGGATTTTTCACAGGGTCAGTAATTTTAAAAGGTGTGATGTTGACAAAATAATTTAAAAATCTAAAGAGCAATCAGGGAAATGGCAACAGCGTTTAATAAAATGTTGATTCCACTGAGCCTAGTTGAAACCAAATCATTAAACTGGAGAGATTTCCAGGCCTGATTTGGTTTCACAAAATTCCGGCCCACCATTGTCCTCCAGCAATTACAGTCCCATAAACACAGCTCTCACTGGAATGTTTTTACTACCACCCCCTTGAAACAACAGCATTTTTGTCATTATTTCACACGTTTCAAAGAAGACACCAACAGAGAGCTCAAAACGATCAGGATTTCCTTCAACCAGGTTAAAGAATCAGGCAGAGAAGTGGCAGATTGATGGCACACACGTTTGTCTTTGAAAGAATACCTACAAAACACAGGACAGCGAAGAGCAAAAGCGGGAGGGCAGAAAGAATGAGAAGCCACCGCCAGCCGAGAGTGGGCATCACCAACACCGCTAGAAGGACTTCAAACACAGTCCCAATGGCCCAAAAGACCTGCCAAAGGGAAAAGAAACAGCCTCAAATGAGAAAAAAGAGCACTCTTAAGGCCTCCTTCTTTGTAACATTCCAAGATGTGCTCTCCAGGGACAGCTGGAGAGAGAAATGCCAGAGACATTTCAAATATGCACCACTGTATGGAAATAGAGTCCAGACATTTTAAGGGGATTTGTTTCAATGTTGCAGCAGCTAAAATGTTCAGTTCTGACAATTTAACATTGACTTTCTCTAAACACTCATGTTTCACTGTAGCTTCTCATAAGGGATAGCCTCATCACATGGTGTTTCTTAAGCAAAATTGCTATTAATACATCCTTTTATGAGTATTATTCCCAGCTACCACCATGAGATTTATGGAACTTGTTTTCCCTACCGAAACCAAGCTCCCAAAGCCACAGTGTTTGGCCTGTAGATCAAAGAAGGAATTGATACTTTCTTCCCAAATAACGGAGCTGGCATCCTCTTACATATCCTACCCAGGCAGGATTATTCTCCTTTGGATTACAAATCCACTTAGCTCATTTTTTAACGCTCAGAATATATTTCTAACCCTGGGTTGCTCAGAGGCAGCCAAACTGTGGCGGAACAAAAGTAACACAAAAAGAAGCAATTCAACTACTGAACTCTATTTATGAAAGATTAATCGACGGAATGTAGGATTAGCCAGCAGTTACCTTAGAAAACTGGTTCTGCATCGAGAAGCTGTTTCAATTTGGTGAGGTTTTCCACAAAAATGCTCCTTCCAAACTGGCTGATGCAGACAGGCAACAGTTCTCTGAGCCTTCAACCATCTGTTAAAGGGCTGCGAATTTTGCCTTAAAGTATTTATAGGGCAAAATTCAGCTCTCTGTGACTTTGGTAAATTTGGATTGAATACGAGGAGCTGAATTTAGCCCTGCGTTTACTGAACAGTCATAGAATCATAGAATTGCCCAGGCCGGAAGGGACCTCCAAAGGCCATCTAGTCCAACCCCCCCGCAGTCAGCAGGGACACCCCCAACTAGACCAGGTTGCCCGGGGCCCCATCGAGCCTCTCCTTGAATATCTCCAGGGAAGGGGCCTCAACCACCTCCCTGGGCAACCTGTTCCAGTGCTCCACCACCCTCACAGTGAAGAGCCCTCTCCTCATCTCCAGTCTAAATCTGTTCCCCTCCAGCTTGAAGCCATTGCCCCTCGTCCTGTCACTACAGGCCTTTGTAAACAGGTTCTCCCCAGCCTTCCTGTAGGCTCCCTTCAGGTACTGGAAGGCTGCTATTAGGTCTCCCCGGAGCCTCCTCTTCTCCAGGCTGAACAACCCCAGCTCCCTCAGCCTGTCCTCATAGCAGAGGTGCTCCATCCCCCTGATCATCCTTGTGGCCCTCCTCTGGACCCTCTCCATCAGGTCCATGTCCTTCTTATATTGAGGGCTCCAGCCCTGCACACAACACTCCAGGTGAGGTCTCACCAGAGCAGAGTAAAGTGGCAGAATCCCCTCTCTGGACCTGCTGGCAATGCATCTTTTGATGCAGCCCAGGATGGGATTGGCCTTCTGGGCTGCAGCTGCACACTGCCTGCTCATGTCCAGCTTCTCATCCACCAGCACCCCCAAGTCCCTTTCCTCAGGGCTGCTTTCCAATACCTCACCCCCCAGTTTGTATTGGTGGCGAGGATTGTTCCGGCCCAGGTGCAGAACCTTGCATTTGCTCTTGTTGAACCTCATGAGGTTCACCTGGGCCCACCTCTCCAGTCAGGTCTCCACTATCCATTACTGAGCTGCAGGTGAATTTCACCATGAAATTAGGTGACCCCCAAGTGGCTCCCTTTGTGCCAACAGCAGTAACTTACGTAGCACCTGATGTAAGTTAATTTGCAAAAAGGCACAATCAACAAAAAGAGTAGAGCATTACCCAAATGCATTATGCTGTTTTTTTGGGACCTAGCATTACCCAAATGCATTATGCTGTTTTTTGGGAGTTAATTACTACTGGTGTTTGGGGGAAACCTCAGCTCCATACTAACTTGGACAATCAGGATTTGAGTGCTGCTACCTATGTGTGAGATTTCTAGTCAGGATTGAATGGATGGAACCAACAGCAGAATTTGTCCCTCTAGGGACCAGCACGCACGGCTACGCTGCTCACCTCTATTAATAAAATGCATTTTGCTCTGGCTTTCATTGGAAGGAATTCAGCATATAAGGTTACCCTGTAAAGAGCGAACATTGAGAAAAATGTCATGTTAGCACATTGAGAAAAATGCCACGTTAGCACAATGAGAGAGGTTCAAACCTTTCTTTCACCTTTTATTAAAATTGCCAAACCCACAGTGGTAAAGCAAAACCCTTCCTAGACCTCAGAGTCAGCAAGACATGGGTTTAGACTCCCCTTTCTACATCAGAACAAAACCCCTTTAGTTCATAGTTGCAAAGGAAGACAGAATTTGCTCTGTTTGTGTGATTTTGTAACCCTATAGGTGTTAGCCAGATGTTGCAGCTCTTGATGCATGTTTTCACAGCCCATGTTTTCACCTGCTCTGGTCTGGGACAAGCATTACACCTGTTATTTTCAGTGTGGTCCATCAGCATTCAACACAAACTCTTGCTGGGTAAAGTATTTCTTCAGGGCTCTACAACTGGCTCGGAGAATTTCACATCACTCTGCTCTGTCAGGTTTCAATTCTCCAAGAGGTGAATACTTTCAAGGTCTGATTGTGTTATTTCTATAAAATAATTTGCATTCTTTTATTGTGGGAATTCAAAAAGATATAATGTAGCTCTGCAGAGTCTTTGTTTCATGACTGTGCCAAAGAGTAATAGTATGGCTTCTCTGAGAGCATTTCCCGAGGAGGAACGCAAAGGTCAGCAGCCAGTCAAGGCTCTCTTGTCTTCTTCAAACCAGCTGGCAAGGCTTGTCATTCTTTGCTCCTCCTCTGTTTGCATTCCATTGACTCATCCTGTTTATGCCTCTACGCTCATTTCTTTGATGTTTGTGTCAAAACTCCTACTAACTTAACAAATGGTAGATTGATCTTCGAGTAGCTTCCTAGAGCTCAGTTCACTGGAGTAGAAAGTTGCCTGCAATATTGTATTAAACCAGTGATTAAGAGGAGAAAGAAGTAAAATCACATAATGAAGTGTAGAGCAGTCCCCTATCTGTCACAGCAGAAAACAGGAGTTGATTAATGCTGTACAGAACTGTTTTCTCAAGAGAATACTCCGTATCTTTGCAAGTCCAGATGTTGGCACTGTGGATGAATGGTCATACTCAGCGTTAGATAATATCTGGCAGAAAATTCCCAGAGGAGGCCACAGCTTCTCAGGTGCAGCTCCTACATACATAAGAATAGAGGGATATCTGCTATAGCCAGTTAATTTATTATTGCTGGATGTTTTCTTTTTAATAGCACCTTTCATATACATCTCTCCCTCCTACCCATTATAGAATACTATACAATTATAAAGACACCCATGTCATTCCATTGACATTTAGGCACTCACAGCCAAAGTTAAGGATGTTAGAAAGGACCTGCTTCATACATATTTACTTCTCTGCCAAAAGAATCGCTATTACAGTTGGAACAAGAAACAGACTCAGCAGCAGTGGAATCCCCTCTTGAGTTCTGTAACCAGCTCTTCTTTGTCTCTCTGTAAGTCACGTCGCCTTTGTGCATTATCCACCCCTCTGTCAGGCGGCTCTGGCTGGGCTGTAGCTGCTCTGCTGGAGCTCTGCAGAACATCATTAATATGTGTTCGCTGTACAAGACATTATTAACTCCAACACTTGGTCTTTGTGGTTCTCCTGCCTCATTCCAGTTGTGCTCAGTTGGAACTGCATGGCAGAAACTGCCTCGCTGGTGGTCAACACACAGCAGGCAACGGACTTTCCTATTTTACATGTGTGTTCTGCATTTGTGCAGCTTCTAAAAGTGGGCAGGAGAGCAGTGAAAGAAAATTAATAATACCGTGATGTTCCATCTCAGCTCTGAATCTTTTATCTGGTAATGGCAATAGAAAAGACAGGATATTGACTTGCCTTGCGAAGAAGTCTATGAGGCATCAATCAAAGTTAGACTCTGATTACTCTGAAATAGCACCTCCATGGGGCAAAAAAATCTATTATTAATAAGGATAAAAGACTACACAGAGAGAGAATGGCTATACTCTTCCCTTTACATTTATAATTAAAAGCCTAGAACAGAGTTATTTATTCCAGATCCTCCTCTTCAGTGAATGGAATGACACAGTAATAGAAAAATACCCTGATCCTGCCTTCTTATTAGAAATGTGTCTGAGCCATCATGGTATCTTCAGTGCTCCAGGTTTAGGCTGTGTGGTTTTGGAATTCCCACTCAGGTTCAGACCTGTAAGTTCAGGCTGTGATTTAACAATAATCTGCAGTTTTACACACACCTGGAGTCAGGGCCCAGCTCCACCTCTCAATGCTAGTATTTAGGTTGTGAACTATCTTGCAACAAGACCATGCCATCCTTTATGGACTCTGCCAAGACAATCCAGCAACACGATGTTTAGCCACAGCTACAAAATGCTGCCTGTTGTGTTTTACACACTTCTAGGTGGGCTCTTGGGACTTTCATTTTCACCACAGTGTACCCAAGGGAATGAGAGAAGCTTTAAAGGACTTAAGGCACATAATATACCCAGCTTATTCACATAAAAGTAATTGTAAATCTGATTCACTTCAGTGATGTATTAGATATCCTCAAAGCCTTCTCAGAGATTAATATATTATTTCTGAAATACTTAGAGAAAAATGGGTTTGGGACAACTGAACAGAAGCATGTCTTCAATATGACATAAGCATTTTAAAAAAAAAATAAATAGAAAAGAGAAAGTTTGGACTTGTGAATATTTACTTACGACTGAGGCACTCCTCCAATCCCAAAGCCCACCAGGCCCCTCAGCACCAAGATCCAGCTGTAAACTGGTGCAAAACCACTGAGGATCCCATAATACAGCGTCCATAACACGCTGATCTTTAGGCCCTGTATTTAACAAACAAACACGAGGAAATGACCTTCTGCTGTGATATAAATTAACAAAACATAAAGCAGAGCTTCAAATTCCTTTCATTTCATGGGAGGCCAATTCTGGCTCTGCCTAGTTCTGCTTCATACATGTGGACTACGACTTTTGTGAACATCATGCACTGAAACATCCACACTGTAGAAATATTAGAATATATTCTAGCAGGAGCTGAAGACTTACTGTTTTTCTCCCATACTGGTCTGAAATGTTTCCCCAGAGGGTGGAGCTGGACATCATTCCCACAAACACCACCTAAGAAACACCAGAAAAAAATCTTCCCATTAACAAGAAGACAAGTGAGAAATTCCATGTGACAGCAAAGAGAACACAACTTCATAGTGACCCGAGAAAAATTCGATTTTAACAATAGAGCAAAATGTCCAGGTGTTCTGGGTATAGTTATTTTATAGTAGAGACTATTAAATATAATTACTCATATAGTGGGATTTTTCAGAAATCACTAACTTCACTTCCATTGACTTGAAGCTTGAATTTGCTATTGCCCAGGAATAGGGCTGAGCTTCAGCAGCCTGTTCAAGCCAAGGTCTCTCAGTTTCTTCCAGTTTTGGGCCCATTTCCAGTAGCTGCCAGGCTACTTGTCATCCCCTCACCTTCATCTTACCTGTTAATTTATGAACTGAACTAGCCCAGTGCTGAATATTTTTGAGCTTTCGATAAATGGAAGAAAACGAATTATAAGAAATCACTGAAGCGCACAATTTACCACTAAATGGAAAGCATTTTCTTGTTTCTGAGTTGTGGGGTTTTTTAGCTGAAGGGTTTTCATAACCCAGAAAATTATCTTTCATCTCAGGCCCCACTGAGAGTTTCATCAGTGTTACTGAGGGGACAGGCAAGTGGAGACAGGAGGAAATGCTTGGTTTGGAGAGGGGAAGCA